GATCCTTCCGGATGAAAACAATGCTTTTTAAAAAGATTATTATATAAAATAACAAGTAATGTTGTTAAAAAGTCCGATAAGGTCGATTTTTTAAATCGGCCTGTTTAAGATTATAACCAAAATAATATTGTATAAGGTGATTTTGCTCATAGATAGCAGAAAGGTTTGGGCTTCTACTTGCCAAATCTTGAGACTTATATAATATTATTTTGGCTAGATCCGTATTTAAAAATCAACCCAAATCGGGCATTTCAACAACACTACTTGTTATTTTATATAATAATCTTTTTAAGAAGTCATTGTTTTCATTTGGAAGGATCTGCAAATTCATTTACTTCTATAATAGATATATTTTTTTTTAAATTATGAGGTACGTATAATAATGATTTTGTATTATCGGAATAAAAATAATGGTCAATCCTAAACCTTTCTACCTAAAAATTCACTCGTGATGTGGTATAAACAAACCGTTTCCCCAATAATAGAACTTTAATTTAGTTTACAAACATAGAACTTTTTAAAAATAAATCTATTCAGATTTTTAATAAATTTATTTAATATATAAGATGTTTAAAAAAATATAATGTATTAACAAATAAAAATCTATTTAACATGGATGTGATATGTCTAATCTTTAGTAATTATGTGATACATATTATTTGGTAATTTTTTAACATCATCTTAGAAAAATTTAATTCTTGACTGGAATAAAAAATAATGGTTTCTGTAAGAGAAGCAGAATTTAAGGATTTTATTTTTTAAAGAATATTGCCTTTATATATACCTTAATTTATTTTTGTATCCATATTAAAAATAATATTATAATTATGATTGATTTAGATAAACATTTATTTATATTAATGGGTATAACTAAATACTACATTGCTAAAAAGCAATTAATCATAATGAATAAAAATTTTATTATATAATTTTTTTAAAAAAATAATTTTCAAAACATTTTTTATATATACTTAAATCAATTTTTTATATATAATTTTATCTTTATATGATATTGCTAAATACTAGAAATATTATTAAATTAAAATATTAGTTAATTATTTATTTGGTCATTAAATAGTATTATTAATTAAATAGCATTTATTTGCTACTAATTTTGAATATAGTTATTTGTTTATATAACAACATTGCAAGTTTATTTTATATTATTCTGATTTTATTTTGTATTTATATATATACTACCTTTAAATGTAAAAATGTTGTTAAATTTTTGTTGAATTATTATTAAAATAAAAATTTTATTTTTTAGAACTCCCTGCCTACCTCGACATCTTTCTAGGACATCGATATCCTTCAAATATTAATGGGAAAATATATTTACTAGCTTACTCAAATTTTATTTGGCAATTTTAAAATTTAACAAATATATATCCATAAGAGGGCGTAAAATGCTTAAATATTAAATAATCACATTAGGAGACCCGAATGATTATTGGTTAGCGCTTTTTTAATATTTGGGTGTATACATGTGAAAAACCTAAAAATTAATAAAAATATATAGGTTTCTTTGACATTTTATTTAGGAATAGGTTAAGAAACAAAAAGTAATAGTAAACTTGTAAAGCACATTGCTGGCATTATTGATCAAAATCTCTTTATTTTTGTTTCCAGTGCTTATATATACGTGTATCATTATCTTAAATATAATTTTAAAAATATTTTGATTTTACCGATTGCCGTACTCAAAACCGACCAATTACTAAATATTTGAATGACCAAACTTGCTAGTAATATCAATTGAAAATATTCATTTTTGTTTGTAAATACGAACAAAACATTGTCTTAAAATATTTTAAAAATTTCGCGATTTGACCGATAACCGACTCGTAACAGACCCAAAGACTAAATACACCATTGCTGGCGATGGAAAATTTTTTTTGTTTTATACGCGGCCCAATTATTGCGGGAAAAAAATTGTTAAATAATTTTTGTAAAATTTTTGTAATGACTTTATATATTTGATGGAAATAGGGGGATAGATATTTTTATTACCTTGCAATTTAAGTAAAAGTGTAGATTTCTGAAGGCTAATTTACGCCATAAAATTTATATATTAGTAAAAATTTATGAAACCCATTTTAGCTACTTATGATTTGATGAAATACCAGGCTTGTTAATCGATTCTTTTAAAAGGATCGAATCCCGATCACGATCTTTTGAAAAAAATTCCCGATCGACCTTTTTTTAAAAAAGGATCGCGATCACGATCCTTTTCTTATTTAATTCTGATCGATGCAAAATTAACTAATATAAAAATTAATTAAATATGGTATAAATTTATTGTAATTGAATAATATAGTATAAGTATACAATTAGAATATATTTATTTATAATTAAAATTCGCCTTTAATTAAAATTTTTCTAAATTATCATCATTTAAACAACCACGTTTTTCATTAAGTACATGTTTAGCTTTACTAAACAAGCGCTCCACGGAAGCGCTTGATGGTAAAGGTGTGTTATATTC